AGTGATGGTGATGGTGGTGATACTGGTAATGATGATGGTGGAGGTGAGGTGATTACGTTGATAGTGTTGAAGATGAAGGTAGTGATGACGGTGATGATAGTGGCAATAATTAAAATGGTGATGATGATGAAGGAGATGATGATGATGGAGGAAGGGGAGGAGGAGGACAGTCAAACGCTGTGGGGTAGCTGGGCCTCAGACCCAGTCTTTGTCTAGTGGGAGCAGAAGCAGGGCAGCTAGTCCCTCCGCACCCCTCACTGCTGCTCCCTTCAGATGGCCCCTTGAATATGTTGCTCCTCGAGAACCTTGAACGTGGCCGGAGGGGAGACGCGGAGAGGCTGGAGTTACTGAAAGACTGGGATGGGGGTAGAGAACCCAGAAAGTTTTCCAGGGGCGTAACCTTTGCACTGCTGCTTCCTGGACAAGTGTGGGTTTTCCAGCTGCACAGTAGGGAAAGGAAGGCATTCCAGGTGGGGGCAGTGCTTCAAAAGGCAAGAGAGGACCAGCCTGGCGGGAGGGGACACCACCTGATGGTGAGGTGGCACTGAGCATCTGTCCACCCCAGGTACACACGCTGCCTTCAACCAGGGCAAGCTACGCAATGTGGGGTTCAGGGAGGCCATGCAGGAGGAGGACTGGGACCGAATCTTCTATGATGTGAACCTCCTCCTAGAGGATGACTGCAACCTCTACATCTGTGGCATCTTCCCCGCCCATGTGTCTGTGGCCACCAACAAGTTCAACTACAAGTAGGTGGAGGGAGACGATCTCCTATGGAGACTGTTGGCCAGGCCCTGCCTTTCCCCGAAGCTCACCCTGACTATCTGTGCAGTGGGGTCAGGATCAAGGGTTAGGCCCCACTGGGGCTGAGGTAGGGAGTGGGTGATGGGAGTGGGGAAAGCCCTTGCAGATGGTGAAGAATCTTCAGGTGGGAATGGTTATTGACGAGGCACTCAGAAGATGTCCTTAACAAAGTGGTGAGAGGACAGGGTTGTAGCAGAGGTCAGAGGAGGGGACATATGAATGGAGGGTCTAATTAGGGGTGAGGAAGAAGCTATCCCAAGGGTCTGGGGAGAAGGGGCCATCAATGGGAATGATTTAGAGCAAGGGATATCCTAACAGGTGAGGGGACATCCCAAGGGTCAAGGGTTACTCCAAGGATCAGGCAAGGGGACACACCCAGGCCAACGGAGGGACTGTTGTAGGGGTCAGGGGAGAACTAACCCAGAAATGAACCTTGGAGCTCCCGGGGCTCCAGGGCCAGGGCCTCTGCTGCTGGAAACTCCTTGTGCTTCCAACTCTCTCTGCCCCCCTGGGCTGCCCTACTGAGGCTGTGTCCCATTCAATACCTAACGATTAATGGCTTCTCCACCTCCGGCTGGGAGGACGACAGCATCACTGCCAGGTAGGTGGCCCTGCTCTAGGGAGCCTAGCAGAAGAGGCTGCAGGTCCGAACATGATGAGGGGGACACAGGCCATGTGGGACTGAGGGCCACGACATGGGGACCCTGTCAGAGGAGACAGGTGTCTGGCCTCCCTACCCTATGCCATGTTCCTGGAAGGGTGAAACTAAGCAGGATGCTCCTCTTACAGCCCCACCTGCTCTTTGGCCACTACCACGTGCTGGAGGAGGGGGAGGACCCTGGCCACAAGCAGAGTCCCCGGGGATGAGTCGGTGCTGGGAGGGAGTGGCTGGTGCTGGGCCCTCCGAGGCCTGGACTCACATGGTTGCCCTGCGCACACTCCAGGCCTGGCTTTGTTTAGATCCACCAAAGGTGGTGATATGAGGGCACCGATTCGCTGGGTTACAGGCTGCTTTGTAAGGAGCGGCAACCCCTCTCCACCAACCTCACTGTGGACGTCAATTTCCAAACCCCAGGAGACCCAGTGCCAGGTTGAGGGGTAACTGTAGGCTGGAAGAGAGCCCCTTAAGCCAGGATGCCGGGGCAGGCCTCCCACCCACCCCTCCTGTTTTCTTATTAAAGGAAAAGTTATTTTATTCTCTTTTCCTCTGCCATCCCTAATTCTCAACCATCCATCCATTCATCTTTCTCTTTCTTTTCCTTCTCCCCTTTCCGGAACCTCTCTCCTTCTTCCCTCTCTCCTCCTCCTCCTATTCCTCCTCCTTCCCCTACATCATATACAGCTATGTCCAGGAGATCCTTCTAACAGACATGAATTAGTACAGGGAAGAACCTTCGAGTGAATGCATTTAAAATGGGGGTCAAATTTTTATGATTAATTGTGTGAGGGAAGTCTTGATCAGGACTTCACATTGAATTACAGAATTCAGTTTCTCAAAATACCTTTATTTTGGATTTAGTGAAATTCCAAGCATTCGTGTAGTACTCCAGGTGGCCAACCACCATCCTGTTAATAATTCTTGACCTTATATAATGAATGCATGTAATCTGCAAAGCAAGCCAAGAGGTGTGAACTGTTAGTACTGCTGTTGTGCAGCTGGAGAAATTAAGGCAGAAAGATTATGTTACGTGCCACCAAACAGATGAGGGGCAGAGCTGGGAGGTGGAGCATCCAGGCAGGGTGGCACACAGCCCATGAGCCTAACTGCTCCCATGCCCAAACCTGTGCCAATTCTGCAACAGAGGACGGATTAAGTGCTGATTTGGGGGAGGGGAGGATTAGGGGCAGTGTGTCTTCTGATCAATCACATGACAGTGTGACATTCTTCATTTCACCTTGGCTTTCACTGCCCAGTAAAGGTTGTGGGGAGGCAGGGTACACCGTGGTTGAGAGTTAAGATGCTGACATCAGACAGCCTGGTTGAAATCCAGGCTTTTCTCATTACTGGATGTTTTGGTCTTGGGAAGATTTATATCAAATTCTCTAAGCCTCAGTTTCCTCATCTCCTAGACAGGGTTATTGGGGGTAGATTACCACCTACAATGGTTGTGAGGACTGAATGAGTTAATTCACGCTGCCTACAACAGTAGCTTCTCCCTCTGGAAACCCTGCCCCCTTATCTCATCCTGAGGCCCTTGCACTAACAGTTATCCACCTCTTAGTTTTCTGAGCCAACAGATTTCTTTTTGCAAATCTGACACATGCTCTCACACGACTGAACACTTCAGATATCTCTCTGGGACCCATCGACTCCAAAGCTAGTCACCTCATTCTTCAGTCTATGATTCAATAGGCATCAAGTACTGACAGGCCTGTCCCAGGGCTTGGTACCAAGAGGAAAGGCAAAATAATGAGACAGAGACGGAGAGATGAGCACATTGGACAGAGGAAGTTGGGTTGGAGAGGGAACAAAGGAGTTAAAGACAATGGGCCTTGGAGGAGGGGTGAGGCCAGAGGTATGGGATGACCAGAAAAGGGGCATCTTGCTGGAATGGGGAGAAAGAACTTGCCCTGGGAGGGGGAGGCAGTTAGGGAGGGCCACGGTGGGAGTGAACATCTGGCTGGAGGTGAGGGCCCAAGAGTGGTTCCCCCAGGTGTTGGTTAGGGACAGGGAAAGCCCATGTTGGAGAAGGGAGGCATACCTTGAGAAGTCTTGGGAAACTCTGTCTGTCTACACAGGGCCCAAGTTTTCACCAGACCTGTCCTAGGACCCTGTTTTATTCCCTGAAACTGGATAGGGTGCCACCCTTGGGACTCAGGTACCCACTATTTCCCCATACCACACAAAAGCCCTCACCACCACAGAGCGGCCTTCTGAGGCCTTCCCAACCCACACACATCCTATCTAAGGCCAGGCATTGTGAACAGATTTCCTGGGTGAGACTTGGTTTTCCACTTTTCTCTGAAGGTGGGGCATGGTCACTGATATTACCCCCCACCCCTGGACATGGAGGGGCCAGTGAGACACAGACCAAACAGACTTGCTCCCCAGAGTCCAGCACATGCTCCTGCATACAAAGTCTCCTTGTTCCAGACACATCCTCAGGCCTGGGCCTGCTCATGACCAGATGTGTAGGACTCTCATCATCCCGGAAGGGTTTCCAGGACTAGGATTATTGGTGCCCAATTCCAACACCCTCCCCTATTTGGAAAAGACTTGCAATGGACTAAAATCTCCCACTTTAGTTCCATGCCCAGCAGAGGAACCCTGGCAGGCTCAGGGATACAGGGTCCCCACACAGTTCCAAGTATTTAACATACTCACCCATTTACTCCTCACAACAAACGCATGGGGTAGGGGACTGTTATAATTTTCCTTTTGGAGATGAGAAAACCAGGACATATTGAGTCCAGTAACTTGCCCAGCAGATGCAACAAGTAGATTAGATGCGGAAATCAAATCCAAGAACCTGGCTCCTGGGCCCGTCTACTTAAAGATTATGCTGTTCTGCTTCTCAGAAGTATTTATAACAGCCCCCTTCCTTTTTTAGCAAAAAATTATGGGCAAAAGAATGAATAATCAAAAATGTGAGAATGACCAAATAAATTACAGCAGGTGAACCCCAAGGAATACTGTGCAGCCATTGAAAAGATGTATTGTAGAATAAAAAAATGACATGCCCACATGTGTACGATATAATCTGAGTTTTATAAAACAAAGGAAAGAGTCCTAACATAGGTATATGAATATGTGTGTGCCTATGTGGTATATATGTATATGTGTGTGTGTGTCTCATGCATTGGCAAACATCTTCTGCAAAGAGCCAGATAGTAAACATTTTCAGCTTGAGGGCCATATGATCTCTGCCACAACTACTTCAGTTCTGCCAATGGGGCATGAAAGCAGCCTCAGATAATACGTATCCAAATGAACATGGCTGTATTCTGATAAAACTTTATTCTAAAAAAAAAAAAAAAGGCAAAATAGTTGCTAGGCCATATTCGGCCAGAGGCCACAGTTTGCTGCCTTCTGATAAATATAATTAGCAGCTTGTATAAAAATATGAATAAGTCCAGACTAAATGGTTGGCACTGATTATCTATAAAGAGGCTCACCACAGACAGTGGAGATGGAAATAAAAGGGAGGGTAGAATTGAGCTAACTATAAAAGAAAAGCTACAGTATGAAGACAGTATACAATATAAAATCTCATTTATGCATTTACCAAAAACTATAATGTACATTCATATGTCTGTATAATAAAGGATTATTGATACCTCACTATATAAATATTCAATAGAGAATAAATTTGATAAACAATTACATTAGATTCTTTAAAAAAAAACTGCCATCTACCTACACCTTCTCTTATGTAGTGAATTCTTCAGCAAACCCTACGGAGGGCATACATATTAACATATATACATATACACACATATGCTGAGCAGACCATATTCATATATACATATATAGAGATATATAACTATCCATACAGGTCAAGTATGCCTAATCTGAAAATCCAAAATCCAAAACACTCCAAAAATTTGAAACATTTTGAGTGCCAATATGACACTCAAAGATGCTCATTGTAGCATTTTGAGTTTTGGATTTTCAGATTAAGGATGCTCAACCAGTAAATATAATGTAAATATTCCAAAATCTGAAAAAATTGAAAATCTGAAACACTTCTGGTCTCAAGCATTTTGGTTAAGGGATACTCAACCTGTGTACAAGACATATATACATAAGATAGCCATATACATACATAATATTGCCCTATTTTTACTTTGCTGGCATTTTAAAATATTGATATCCCACAATAAATAGGACTTTCCCATAAATAACCTGGTAATAATCTGTCTTGTACCATTTTCTATAGAAAGGCTTTTCTTAGTGCATTAGTCAGGGTTTCTTCACAGGATGAAATTTATAACCCTTAATGAGACTAGTACAAATAAGGACACTTCCACTTATTCTTTGAAATTCTTTTCTGGGTAGTTTTCCTCATGTAAAATAATGTGTGAATTCATGATGTGTTTACACATGCAAAACATTTCCAGAATTTCTGAAGCATGAATCTATCACATACAGTTAGATCTGACTCTTGTCAAGAAACTCGGAGTATATTTAATTTATGAATATGCTGATGCACTAGGAATTGATTTCTTGGTAAAGCCTTTCACAGAATAACTGCGTTTGTAAGATCTGTCTCTGGTATGAGTTGTTTGGTGTTTATTGAAATTTGACCTGTTGTTGAAGGCCTTCCCACATTCAGAACACACATAAGGTCTTTCTCCTGTGTGAATTCGCTGATGTACCTTGAGTTGTGGTTTCTTACTGAATGATTTCCCACAGTCATGGCATTCATAAGGTTTCTCTCCAATGTGACTTCTCTGATGGGTAATCAACTCTGATTTCTGGATGAAAGCCTTCTCACATTTGTAACAGACAAAAGGTCTCTCCCTAGTGTGAGTTACTTGATGTTTATGGAAATTTGACCTGCCGTTGAACGCCTTCCCACATTTAGTACATACATAGGGCTTCTCACCTGTGTGAATTCGCTGATGCTCTTTGAATTGAGACTTAGAAGTGAAGGCTTTCCCGCATTCACTGCATTTGTAAGGCTTCTCTCCAGTGTGAATTCTCTGATGCATGCTGAGTATTGACTTCTGGTTGAAGGCTTTCCCACATTCACTGCATACATAGTGTCTTTCACCAGTATGAATTTTCTGGTGTATATTGAGGTGTGACTTTTGGGTGAAGGTTTTTCCACAGTCACTGCATTCGTAAGGTTTCTCCCCTGTATGAATTCGATGATGTATATCAAGTTGTGATTTGGAAATGAAGGATTTCCCACAGTTGTGGCAGTGATAAGGTTTCTCTCCAGTGTGACTTCTTTGATGAACAATCAGGTGTGCCTTTTGGATAAAGGCCTGCCCACATTCAATACACACGTAGGACTTCTGCCCTGAGTGGATTCTCTGGTGCAAGCTGAGTGCTGACTTCTGGGTGAAGGCTTTCCCACATTCACTGCATGCATACTGTCTCTCACCAGTATGAATTTTCTGATGTATAATGAGGGTCGAGTTCTGGGAAAAGCCTTTGCCACATTCACTGCATTCATAGAGTTTTTCTCTACTGTGAGTTCTCTGATGTCTTAAGAGAGATAACATTTGGAAAAAGGCTTTTCCACACTCATGGCATTTATAGGGCTTCTTTCTAGTGTGAGTTTTCTGGTGTGTAATCAATTCTGATTTCTGAATGAAGACCTTCCCACAGTCCTGACATATATAGGGTATATTACCTGTATGATCTGTCAGATATACACTGAGTTTTGGTTGTGGGATGATGGCTTGTCCACATTTGCTGTATTCATGGAGATATTTTACACTATGCATTCTCTGTTGGGCGAGGAGCTGTGATTTCTGGGTGGAGGCCCTCCCACATTCAGTATATTCACTCGGTTTCTCCTGAACATTACTTTGGTCTTGTGTAAATGACTGTTTATGGCCACAGACTTTTCTACACTGGTTACCTTTGCAGAATTTCTCTCCTGTATGAATATTCTTGCTGCAAGCAATGGAAGAGCTATGAGTGAACAGCTGATCAGACTCAACAATGTCATCAAGCTGTTTTGTGGCATTGCTTTGATTTTGACCATTTACTTTTGGGTTAGGCTTCAAACTTTTTGCAAATGAACAACATTTCTGAGATCTTTGTAAAGAAATACGGTGGGGCCTCATGTGAATGATTTTCCCAGGGTCCTTACAGTCACAATCTCTCTCTGTGTTCAATGTTTTCTTGTTGAAGACAGCACCATGACGCATGGGTTGAATCTGATTTTGCTGATCTCTCTTTGTATGGTCAGCATCCTGCCACAGTTCTTCTAAAATGGAGCACCAGGAACCATGTCTTGTGACTTCACCCACCAGATCCTTTTGATACGAAACTTTCTCAGGAATTTCCGGCTGTGGGGTTTCAAGCCCAAACTTCCCTTCTAGAAGGAGAAAGAGAAGATGAAACAGATATAATGAATAGGACAGAGTAGAAATTGTATGACATTAATTGACATTGAACACAGGGAAATTGCTTAGTCATGTAATGGTGCTGATGATGGTGACAATGAGCAGAAACACTTATTATATGCCCTTATTATATGCCAAACACTCATCTATATAGCACCTGCTTGTGCCTGGCAATGGTCTATGTGAGGCACACATAAACTCATTTAATCCTCATAATAACCTCAGGAGGTAGCTACAATTAGTGTTCCTATTTTACAAATAAAGAAAGGGAAGCACATCATGGTCACATAACTGGCCAAGATCACTTTGTTAATCTTTGGGAAGCTTAAACAAAGGCAAACTAATTCCACTTATACAGGCTAAACTGTATGCCCAGACCTAATAAGATAAATAGAAGATGAGACAAAGTAACATCATTGTTATAGGGCAACATTGGTGGATAGCCAAGGCTTGAAGGAGTGGGCCCAGTATATAGGTCTTCATTAGCTTTCAGATCTAAATCCTCACCAATCTCCCTGCTTTCTCTCACTTGTGCCAAACCCATCAGCCTTCTATAACCTTTGGAAAACTATTAAAGCTTCCCCTATCCTGACATGGCCAAGCAGTAAAAGAATGCTTATGTCCCAACTCTCCATGCAGCTGTAGTTTTTTTTGTTTTGTTTTTGTTTTTTTTCTCGAACCTGGGAATATACCCATATCCCCAGAAAGGTATATTGGAAGACTAGACAAATGAGCTGTTCCCTAGAATTTATTTCATCCTTTTTCTATAAAAGAAGTTAATTGTTCTCCTTTAGAACTTTTAGCTTTATGTTACAGATCATACCTTTATTTTTCCCTGCCAAGACTGGGAGTCCCTGATCTTTAATTTACTAGTATAGAACATAGAACACAGCAGATTCTCAGTAAAAATAAGTTATAAAATTTTACTATTATTTTTCTATCAGATTTAACTACTAAATGACCATCACATTCAGTTTTTCTCTTTCAGTCACTTAGATAGTATCCCAGACTCTTGTCCTGTCAAGAAACCTCAATCATTTTTCACTTCTTTAGAAAATGAGAACACTTTTAATCTTTATTGTTAACATTTTCTTATTATGGGCATAAAACATATAACATTTACCATCTTATCCATTTTTTAATGTATAGTTCAGTAGTGTTATGTGTATTCACATTGTTAGGCAACAGATCTCCTGAACTTTTACATCTTGTAAAACATCTTATTCTCATTAAACAACTCCCCTTTTCGTCTTCTCCCTCAGCCTCTGACTAAGACAACCACTATTCTATTTTCTGTCTGTATGAGTTGAGATAGCACTTATCCTTTTATGTCTGGCTTATTTAGCTAACCATGCTTTAAGATTCATCCATGTTGTAGAATATGTCTTAATTTCCTTCCTTTTAAGGGTGAATAATATTCCACTGTATGTATATAGTACATTTTGTTTATCAATTCATCCATCAGTATACAATTCCACTTCTTGGCTATTGTGAATATTAAACATGGGTGTATAAATATCTGTTCAAGCCCCTGCTTTCAAATATTTTGGTTATCTACCCAGAAATGAATGGAATTGTTGGATCATACAGTAATTCTATGTTTAATTTTTTGAGGAATTGCCATATCATTTTCCATAGTGGCTGCTCCATTTTACATCCCTACCAGCCACGCACAAGGGTTCCAGTTTCTCCACATTCTTGCCAACATTTGTTAAGATGATCAGGGACTTCCATTCTGGGGAGTGTTTCTGCTTGGCTATCCACTGTTTTTTAATAGTAGTCATTCTAATGGGTGTGAGGTGATATCACACTGTAGTTCTGATTTGCATTTCCCAAGTGAGTAGTGGTGTTAAGCACCTTTTCCTATGCTTGTTAGCCATTTGTATATCATCTTTGAGGAAATGTCTATTGAAGTCCTTTTCTCATTTTTTCAATCAGGTTTTTTGTTTTGTTTCATTTTTCACTCTTGAATAGCAGTTTTACCCATACACATACATTTATTCCGGGTATCTTATACTCTGTGTCCCCAGCCACAGATTTGGACTATTTTTAACTTTTCAATTCATTTAGATCATAAAAATTCAATTCATTTAGACCTTACTGAATCTGATAATATTTAAATTACTGCCAAAAATGTTTAATGCAAACTGTCAGAACTGTGCCAAAAAGCTTTTCTATAACTCTCCAACACAGCCTAACAATGCAAAAAATACCCAATTTATTCCCAAATCTAAGCACATACTCATGTCCTCTACTCCCATTAAGCTTGCTTTGTCTACTTCATTGTTTCCCTTCAAAATGGTTTTGTGGACCAGTTATAGGTACTGTGCCCTTAAAATTAACTCCCAATGTCATTCCACCTCTAGGGTGAAATTATTTTCTCTGAAATTCACAAGCAGTCACCCTCTATACTTCCCATTTTGATATACTCATTTTTTTAGTAGCCTTCCACGAAATAGATATGATTAATGCACAAAGACTCTTCACACTTCATGCCATTGTCCTCTCTGTCCAAATACAATCTCTGTTCTTTTGAATTTACCTCAGCAGATATTTAAAATATCCTTCTAAAATAGTGTAAAATATTATTTTCTATCTTCAGAAATTCAACAATTTTTATATTCTAAATGGTTTCCTCATGCTCAACATTGACATAATAAAGATTAAGTAGGAAAAGTACAAATAACCACAGGCGATATGCAAAGTGGATTATCCTATATAGCAGATATTAAGCAAAAGATCACAACAATGGAGATGAAAACTATCAGGTATATTTTTAAATTGGACATATGTGGCCATGATGATAATATCACTGAAGAAGGAGTTTGTTAATCTACATAGTAGAAAATAACTGCATGTTTGCATCCTATCTACTGTAGAAAAATGAAACTAAATAGCAGTGTTTGGGGTAATAAAATCTGTCATTTTGATTGCATTGTGATTGCAATGCAAATCTGCACTATGATTGAACTCATGAAAAACCGGAATCTACAAATGTCATTAGCAATAAAATAGTCTAAATATAAGAAAATAGGAAGCTGGTTTATAGTGACACCACTAGGATTAAGAAAAAGGGTCACCTAAATTGTATATTCAAAAAGAAAAATTGATAGGAATTCTAAAATAATAAATTAAATTAGAAGACTGAGAGGAAAGAGCTCAGAAACACAGAAAAAATCTGACAAAATTTGTCATGTGATAAGAATTTCTTATTTGGATGATGACAATTCCAATTTCTGATCTCCTGAAATTAAGGAAGTTGAGTCATCTCCTGAGAACTGTCCTCCATGTAGCTTTAAATAAGGTATCAGAATTCAGTTTAAGCACCAAGAGTGGAGGTGTTGATATAGGAATCATCAGAATACAAATATGATGACTAAGTATTCAAAATGGATGGGTCTTATCAGTAGATTCCTATGATGAAGAGAAGAACATAGTATAGGACCCCAAGGTAGAGATGCCACAATTAAGGGAAAAAAAGAAAAAAGATTCAGCAAAAAAAAGAAAATCAATAAATTTAAGGGCAAATAAACAGGAAAAAAGGCAGAAAACTCCATGGACACAAAATGATAACATGAAAAAGCAATGTACACATATATGGAAAACTCAATCAGATAAAAGATATAATGAGATGCTCTAATTAGTTATTAGAAAAATAATATTTAAACAATGAAGCGCCCTTTCATCCATCAGATGGGCCATAAATTAACCAATTTGGTTAATGCCAAGTGTTGGCAAGCAAGGTGTGCAAATAGGGGTGTAGATTGTGCAACCCATTTAAGGTCAATATGGTTGACTAATTCAAATTAAGTATACTTATCTCCATGACCAGGCAATCCCTCTCCCAAATACTTACCTCGGAAAAATTCTTACACTGGCCCTTATAGGATATTTATGAGATAATTTATCACATTTATTGTGGAACCTGGGAGTAAGAGGCAACCTAAGTGTCCACCAGTGAGAAAACAGAGGGAATGAATAAATGTGGTAGGCTGACAGTGGTATCCCCAAAGATATCCATGTCTGCCTGGGTACAAGTCACTCACCTTGACGGCTCTGATGTGGTAGTTCAGCCTCCCCCATCCATTGCCCCTGTCCTTTTACCACCCTGAAGATGACTTCTGGGCTGGGAATGTGATACCCTGTTCAATGGAAAGGATATTGGATTTGGGTTTTAGAGGCCATTCAACAAAGCTTTGCACTGGCTCATCAGAAAAGTCAACATTTTCCACTGGGCACAAAGGTACTCAAAGGTACCCAAAAGGAATAAGCACTGCAGGACAACCCAACGAAAAAACCATGACATACTTCTGATATCCCAATGCGTTCTGTAAGGAGGAAGAAGGAAATCTCAACGAGGCCCATCCAAGATTCCCAGGTCAGCTGTGCTCACCCACTGAGATGAGGTGGTTATAGATCTCCAGCATCACGTCCTGGTACAGGTGTCTCTGGGCAGAATCCAATTGCTGCCACTCTTCCTTGCTGAAGCCCACGGTCACATCCTCTAATGACACTGATTTCTGTAACAACGTACCCCAGCTCACTGAGAATTACTCATCACTGGTAAATGGGGAAGTTACATATAAGAATGTGCTTCTGATGATTTTTCACCATGACACATCATATAGACTTCCCATTAAATACCTGTTTCACATTGTATTTGGGGGGCAGTAAAAAAATTTATAGAAATATCCTGCCGTCTATTGTATACCACATTCATTCAGTCATTCTTTTTCAGAAATAAGGCCAGAAATGGGTTCTCTCTAAGTCTCTAGCTAATTTAGGAATAATGAACATGATGTTTATTAAGCAACTACATGCCAGCCTTAGCTGTGCTGGGTCCTGGGAACTCAACAAAGAACTACATAAGCTTCTACTCTTCCAAAAACTCAGAGACTTGGACAAAAAGCAAATACATAAGCTCAACTATGGGATTAGGAAGGGAACACGGTAGAAATAGATGCAGAGCACACTACTGGAGAGAAGCAAATTAGGGACAAATTCTACCTGGGAATAGAGGGCCATGCTACTTAGAGGTGGCAAAGCTTAAACTGTAAGTTAGAAGTTTGATGTGGGATGTGTGCATGGAGGAAATAAATCATTTTCCAGAAAAGAGCTTTAATAAAAGTGGAAAAGTAGGAAAACACTGTGAATTCAGGATGCAGCAGATGGCTCTGTATAAGAGGAGAGGCAATTGCATGATGTTTGGAAGGTGGTTATCATCCAAGTTCCAAGAAAATGGGCTGGAGTCTGATCATGTAATGGGTACAGATTTTTATTATAATTAATGGATTGCCATTTAAGGATTTTAAGTTCAGAAAGAGGTATGATCATATTAATAAGATACGATCTATTAAAAAGGTGATCTTCCTATAAGAACAATATTAATGAAAGGACTGATGATTAAAAGAGCTTCATTATAGAATTATTACAGATGACAAATGCAGCCTGAAGAATTAAAATATCATCACTTTTACTGATCGCCAATGAATGTTAAAACCACATAGGTGAAAGACTGATGTGATCTTTATGATTAAAGATTAAGATGACAACACCTTATCCTAATAATCAATTTTAACATCACAAAGAGAATGATAACCAGACATTATGTGCACCTGATATGGTTTTACAAGTACACAGATGGTGTACAAACTATGAAGTATTCTTGCCAAAAACAAAGAAATCAAAGTGGAATCTGGCCAAGCCTCTACAGTAGAGCCATTCAATGGAAATATAATGTGAGCCATATATTGTTGTCACCATATTATATAAAACATTACAACCTAGGGGTGAAAACCTATACCCCATATATATTTCCATTCATTTTGACCTTACTGAATCTGATAATATTTAAATTACTGCCAAAAATGTTTAATGCAAACTGTCAGAAACTGTGCCGAAAGCTTTTCTATAACTCTCCAAACAGCCTAACAATGCAAAAAATACCCAATTTATTCCCAAATCTAAGCACATACTCATGTCCTCTACTCCATTAAGCTTGCTTTGTCTACTTCATTGTTTCCCTCCAAAATGGTTTTGTGGACCAGTTATAGGTACTGGCCCTTAAATTAACCCCAATGTCATTCCATCCACCTCTAGGGTGAAATTATTTTCTCTGAAATTCACAAGCAGTCACCTCCTATACTTCCATTTTGATATACTCGATTTTTTTAGTAGCCTTCCACGAAATAGATATGATTAATGCACAAAGACTCTTCACACTTCATGCCATTGTCCTCTCTGTCCAAATACAATCTCTGTTCTTTTAATTTACCTCAGCAGATATTTAAAATATCCTTCTAAAATAGTGTAAAATATTATTTTCTATCTTCAGAAATCAACAATTTTTTGTATTCTAATGGTTTCCTCATGCTCAACATTGACATAATAAAGATTAAGTAGGAAAAGTACAAAACCCACAGGCGATATGCAAAGTGGATTATCCTATATAGCAGATATTTAAGCAAAAGATCACACACAAGCGGAGATGAATATATCAGGTATATTTTTAAATTGGACATATGTGGCCATGATGATAATCTCACTGAAGAAGAGTGTTGTTAATCTACATAGTAGAAAATAACTGCATGTTTGCATCCTATCTACTGTAGAAAAATGAAACTAAATAGCAGTGTTGGTAATAAAATCTGTCATTTTGATTGCATTGTGATTGCAATGCAAATCTGCACTGTGATTAACTCATTGAAAAACCGGAATCTACAAATACATTAGCATAAAATAGTCTAAATATAAGAAAATAGGAAGCTGGTTTATAGTGACACCACTAAGATTAAGAAAAAGGGTCACCTAAATGTTATATTCAAAAAGAAAAATTGATAGGAATTCTAAAATAATAAATTAATTTAGAAGACTGAGGAGAGAAAGCCTCAGAAACACAGAAAAAATCTGACAAAATTTGTCATGTGATAAGAATTTCTTATTTGGATGATGACAATTCCAATTTCTGATCTCCTGAAATTAAGGAAGTTGAGTCATCTCCTGAGAACTGTCCTCCATGTAGCTTTAAATAGGTATCAGAATTCAGTTTAAGCATCAAGAGTGGAGGTGTTGATATAGGAATCATCAGAATACAAATATGATGACTAAGTATCAAAATGGATGGGTCTTATCAGGTAGATTCCTATGATGAAGAGAAGACATGAGTTAGCACCCAAGGTAGAGATGCACAATTAAGGGAAAAAAGAAAAAGAATCAAAAAAAAGAAATCAATAAATTTAAGGCAAATAAACAGGAAAAAGCAGAAAACTCCATGGACACAAAATGATAACATGAAAAAGCAATGTACACATATATGGAAACTCAATCAGATAAAAGTAAAATGAGATGCTCTAATTAGTTATTAGAAAAATAATATTTAAACAATGAAGCGCCTTTCATCCATCAGATGGGCCATAAATTAACCAATTTGTTAATGCCAATGTGTGGCAGCAAGGTGTGCAAATAGGGGTGTAGATTGTGCAACCCATTTAAGGTCAATATGGTTGACTAATTCAAATTAAGTATACTTATCTCCATGACCAGGCAATCCCCTCTCCCAAATATTTTACCGTCCGGATAAAATTCTTACACTGGCCCTTATAGGATATTTATGAGATAATTTATCACATTTATTGTGGAACCTGGGAGTAAGAGGCAACCTAAGTGTCCACCAGTGAGAAAACAGAGGGAATGAATAAATGTGGTAGGCTGACAGTGGTATCCCCAAAGAGATCCATGTCTGCCTGGGTACAAGTCACTCACCTTGACGGCTCTGATGTGGTAGTTCAGCCTCCCCCATCCATTGCCCCTGTCCTTTTACCACCCTGAAGATGACTTCTGGGCTGGGAATGTGATACCCTGTTAAATGGAAAGGATATTGGATTTGGGTTTTAGAGGCCATTCAACGAAGCTTTGCACTGGCTTATCAGAAAAGTCAACATTTTCCACTGGGCACAAAGGTACTCAAAGGTACCCAAAAGGAATAAGCACTGCAGGACAACCCAACGAAAAAACCATGACATACTTCTGATATCCCAATGCGTTCTGTAAGGAGGAAGAAGGAAATCTCAACGAGGCCCATCCAAGATTCCCAGGTCAGCTGTGCTCACCCACTGAGATGAGGTGGTTATAGATCTCCAGCATCACGTCCTGGTACAGGTGTCTCTGGGCAGAATCCAATTGCTGCCACTCTTCCTTGCTGAAGCCCACGGTCACATCCTCTAATGACACTGATTTCTGTAACAACGTACCCCAGCTCACTGAGAATTACTCATCACTGGTAAATGGGGAAGTTACATATAAGAATGTGCTTCTGATGATTTTTCACCATGACACATCATATAGACTTCCCATTAAATACCTGTTTCACATTGTATTTGGGGGGCAGTAAAAAAATTTATAGAAATATCCTGCCGTCTATTGTATACCACATTCATTCAGTCATTCTTTTTCAGAAATAAGGCCAGAAATGGGTTCTCTCTAAGTCTCTAGCTAATTTAGGAATAATGAACATGATGTTTATTAAGCAACTACATGCCAGCCTTAGCTGTGCTGGGTCCTGGGAACTCAACAAAGAACTACATAAGCTTCTACTCTTCCAAAAACTCAGAGACTTGGACAAAAAGCAAATACATAAGCTCAACTATGGGGTTAGGAAGGGAACACGGTAGAAATAGATGCAGAGCACACTACTGGAGAGAAGCAAATTAGGGACAAATTCTACCTGGGAATAGAGGGCCATGCTACTTAGAGGTGGCAAAGCTTAAACTGTAAGTTAGAAGTTTGATGTGGGATGTGTGCATGGAGGAAATAAATCATTTTCCAGAAAAGAGCTTTAATAAAAGTGGAAAAGTAGGAAAACACTGTGAATTCAGGATGCAGCAGATGGCTCTGTATAAGAGGAGAGGCAATTGCATGATGTTTGGAAGGTGGTTATCATCCAAGTTCCAAGAAAATGGGCTGGAGTCTGATCATGTAATGGGTACAGATTTTTATTATAATTAATGGATTGCCATTTAAGGATTTTAAGTTCAGAAAGAGGTATGATCATATTAATAAGATACGATCTATTAAAAAGGTGATCTTCCTATAAGAACAATATTAATGAAAGGACTGATGATTAAAAGAGCTTCATTATAGAATTATTACAGATGACAAATGCAGCCTGAAGAATTAAAATATCATCACTTTTACTGATCGCCAATGAATGTTAAAACCACATAGGTGAAAGACTGATGTGATCTTTATGATTAAAGATTAAGATGACAACACCTGATCCTAATAATCAATTTTAACATCACAAAGAGAATGATAACCAGACATTATGTGCACCTGATATGGTTTTACAAGTACACAGATGGTGTACAAACTATGAAGTATTCTTGCCAAAAACAAAGAAATCAAAGTGGAATCTGGCCAAGCCTCTACAGTAGAGCCATTCAATGGAAATATAATGTGAGCCATATACGTAATATTTTCTAGAAGCCATATTAAAAAGAAACAGATGAAATCAATGTAATAATATATTTTATTCAATCCATTATATTCAAATAGTATAATTTCTATCTATAACCAATATTTTAAAAATCATCAATGAGACATTTAAAAATTTTTTTTCATACTAAGTTTTTTTTTGAAATGTAAACCAGCCACATTTCAAGCACTTAATAGCTACATGTGGTGAGTGGCCATTATACTGGACACCACAGGTCTAGATTTAAATACTAGTTCACAAATACAAGGATAGTTGTCCATGATATAAAATGACACCATGTGAATGCAAGTGAGCCAAATCTAGAATCTGCCACAATTTAAAGGGCAACCCAGTTTCTCCAAGAAATAAATAAAAAGGGAGTAAAACATGGAGGAAAACCATTTGTAGATTAAGAAAAACTAAAGGTACATTTCAACTAAGTGGAATGTATAGACAATGGCTAGATCCTGACATGAAAAATCAAGTTTAGATAGTTCAGGTGTTTATGATATTAAGAAATAATTATTATTTGGGTGATATATGAATGATATTTGTGGTTATGTAAGAAAAACTTCATCTCTCAGAGATATACAATATATATGAAGTAATATAATGTCTAGGGTTTGCCTTCAAATAATCTAGTGATGGGAGTTATTAATCAAACAGGATGGGTACTATGCTGATAATTATTAAGATAAAGGGTTTCAGGTCAGGCACAGTGGCTCATGTCTATAATCCTAGCACTTTGGGAGGCTAAGGTGGGAAGACTCCAGGAGTTCAAGACCAGCCTAAGCAAAAGCAAGACCCCAAATACAAAAATTAGCCAGGCATGGTGGCACGAGCCTGTAGTCCCAGCTACTCAGGAGGCTGAGGCCAGAGGATCACTTAAGCCCCAAGAATTTGAAGTTGGAGTGAGCAATGAAGATGCCACTGAACCCTAGCCCAGGCAACAAACTAAGACCCTGTCTCGAAACAAATCAATCAATCAATAAGGGATTCATTAGACCATTTACTCTACTTTTGCTTATGCTTAAAAATTTTAGTAATACAAAGTTTAAAACTTAGCACACTTCATTTAAAACAAAATCTAATCTGGAAGTCTGCATGCATAATTGAATATATAGCTATTTCTTTCTTAAGTTGGAAATATTTTCTTGCAAGAATTATAAAATTATTTCCATAGGATGTGTATATCTTTGAGGGGAAAAAAAGAATAAAAGAACAAAAGAAATATTAAATACAAATTAAATAAATAAACAAAATGATTTCCA